TTATAAAATTCCTCAAATACTTTCAATTTTTCTTTCATAGCTCTACATAATTTACCTGTTTTATCTTTTATCATGTTTATCGTTCCTTCCATTTTCTTTTTCTGTGTTGATTTGGCTAGGATCTTTGAATTCCTATCACTAAACTCAAAATATTCCCTCCTTAAATAAATTAAATTTTCTTGTACTTCGTCTATTTCCATTTTATCCAATTCCTCTTTTTTTGCTCTTAACCTAGCATAAATTCGTGTATCTCTCTTTATTACATATGCTTTTTCAATCTCTTCTATTTCTCTTTCTAAATTCCTTTTCCTTTCTTCTTGCCTTCTCTTTAAATTAATTGTCTCTTTTATACATAACCCTCTGGTCACTGCTTTCATAGTGTCCCATAGAACTCCTTTTGTCACCCCCTTTTCGTTGAAGCCCCATATTTCTTGCCATTCTGCTTGCACTTTATCTACTATCTCTTTATGATTTAGTATTCTTGTGTTTAACCTCCACCTTTTCATTTCATCATAATCACATTTCAACGCAATCTCAATTGAAACCAAAGCGTGATCCGAAATCTTAATCATACCTATATCAGCATTTAGCACTTTACTTGTCATATTTTTGGAGACAAAATATAATCAATTCTTGTATACACCTTATGTACTGATGAATAATATGTATATCTACTTTCATTCCCTTTTACCAATCTCCACACATCCTTTAATTGCCATTTATTCATTACTCTGCTTAATTCCGTTGTTTCAATGTTTCTAGCTTTTGATGCTATCGTAGTTTTATCCTTCTTTAAATCCATACAGCAATTACAATCTCCTCCAAATATTACATTTTGTTGATGGTAATTCTCTATTTGCTCTAACACTTTTTCATAAAATTCTTGCTGTTTCACATTTGGTGCGTATACATTTACTAATACATATTTTTCCTCCCCTATTTCCCCATATATTATTATATATCTTCCCTCTTCATCCTTCAATACCTTGTTTATGACAAAATTACATTTCTTTGCTATTATTATTGCTACTCCTCTTGACTTTGATGTCCCAAAAGATGTTTCGTAGTTCCTTATCCAGCTCGACTTTAACTCATTTGAGCCCCGCTTATTTTGATGTGTTTCCTGTAGGAAGATGGCGTCCGCCGCGTCCTTCTTCAGTAG